CAGCCGAGCTCTTAACCACTGGGCCACCAGGTTTTCCTGCCCTTCCACAGGAGACTGTACAGTAACTGATGACATGTCCATCCGACGGGGCCTTCTGCAGTCGTGAAAAACAAAGGAGGAGCTCTGTATATACTGAAATGGCTGATACAGAGTGACCTGGCTTAAGTTAGAGGCTTGGCAATCACCTATGGATCCAGGAGTTGGGAAGACGATCCTGGGCCTCTGGCAAAAAACTCAAAAGAAGCATCTTTTTTGCTGTCGCAACTAGGTAACTCCTGAGTCACTCACATGGGGAGCCTCATCCTTGGGGTGAGGGACATTCTGAGATGGTCAGACCTGGTTTGGAGCCTCTATTCTCGGTGGGGGCGTTGGTCCTGAATCACGGGGTTTTCCCTGCAGAGCCCTCGGCCAAGCCAGCCCTCTTGGCATCTCCCCCAACCAGGGCGCTCAGATCATACAGTGAATCTTTGCCTTTTAGGACTTGCTGCTCAGTGTGATGTTTCTGAAGACTAAATAAAGAATCTCACACCCCTCTCTGCCCTGGACCGACCCTCTCCTCCTTGGAGGGGAAGAGAACGGAAACTCCGTGGGAGGAGAGCTTTTCCTCTCTTTGTTCCTTGCTATTTCCAAGCACTGAGAGCAGAGCTTGGCACACAGTAGGTCCTTAGCAAGTGTTTGTCGAATAAGAGAAGACACAACCCCAATGCAGGGGAAGAATCTGGGGGCAGGACGTGAGGTTTGGGCTGTGACTGGGCAAGTCGCCCAAACTCTCAGTACCCTCATCTGCGGGGACCAGGTTGGGAAAGGCAAGGGTTTGGAGCCAGGCTGACTAGGTTTCTAGACTTTTCTCCACCTTTTATCAGCTGTGGGGCCTTGAGCAAATAGCATGCCCTCTAGGCCTCAGCTCCCTGATCTGTAAAACGGGCTGAAAGGTGACCATGAGTATAAACACCCTCCATCACATCTGATGCTTCATTGTTGTTCAAAGAACTCAGGGTGTTAGGATTGAGCTGTTGTCACACACCGGGGGGAGGGGGCCCACACTACTCACCACTCACAGTCACCTGTGTCCCAGGACCAGACTTAAACTCCACGTCATCAGGGCTCCCTCTCCTGAACTTCACACAGAAGTAGGTGCCGGCGTCTGCTGGGGTGATGTTACTGATGCGGATGGAAAAGTCCACGTTGTCTCTTTTTGTGTAGTCGGAAACATTTATCACTCGGGGGAAGAGGCGTAAGTGGTCTAGGCCCCCTTTGAAACTGTAGACTAACTGCCGGTCTGGCCCAGCCCCCCTGAACCAATGGATGGGCCCCACGGGACGGACAGAGGAGATGACGCAGGGCAGAGTGACCGCCTCTCCAGCTGCGACCAACACCGACTTCTCACGTTGAATCACCTGCAGCTCCTCCTGACCTGTCACTCCTGCAGGAAACACAGGGCCGTTATTCATCCTGCGGGATCCTGGCTGTTGTCTCAGGTGTTTATCAGCAACAGCTTCCGCTGACTGAGTGCAAACCATGAGCCTGGCCTTGTGCTCAGCACATCCCATGTACCATCGCATGGAATCCTCACCACAAGCCTGCACGGTGAGACTGCATGACAAATGGGGAGACTGAGGCACACAGTGGTTAACGACCTGGCAGACACGGGTGTGGACTCGACCTGAGTGGAGCCCTGAGCCCTCTCTGGAAGAGCCCTGTCCGAGCTTGGCTATGGGGTTCAAATCTGGATTTTCCAGGAAGAAAGGGGCTTGGTGTTCCCAGCAGAGGGAACAGCCTGGGCCAAGGCTCAGAGGAGTGCAGCAGCATGTGTGACTGGGGCTCTGAAAGGAGCTTAGTTCGATTTCCAGCCTGGCCCAGGAAGCAGGCTCCATGCAGGGAGCCGCACTCAGTGGTTTGGGCTTCCTCCAGGCAGTGGAGCCACGGAAAAGATGTGGGTTCTGAAGCAGGAGAACTTGGGTTGAGCGTTCATTTCCTTACCTACAAGATGGGTACAATACCCCACCCTCTGCTTTGTTCTGAAAAGACAATGAGATCACACACAGAAGTCACTTAGCACTGAGCTGGCACAGGGGAGGCTATTCTTGTCATTATACAAACAATGAATGAAAGGGGAGGGACTGCTGCTCAAAAGTCACCCCACCAGCCCTGACTGATGCCCCTGCAGGCCAGACCCCTGCTGGATGCGGGACACACAGGAGCTGGACCCAGTCCAGGCGTCCAGGGCTCCCGGGCTGGGCAGCGGGAAGGAGCCTGAGGCCCAAATCAAAGACCAATTGGAGCACATGAGACGGGGACCCTAGTAAGGAGACTGGGGGGATGAGGGGAGGACACAGCCAGGAGGATGAAGGGGGAGGAGGACGATGAGGGGGCAGGAGGATGTTGTTGTGAGATGCTTAGGGCCCGAGGGAGAAACGCTCAGGGCTTGATTCTGAACACAGTGGGGGCAAAGGGAGAGGAAATGGAAAGAGACAGACCACAATGACCAGGGAGAAAGAGAGAGAGAGGGAAAGGCAGACAGACAGAAAGAGA